CCTTCAGAATAAATGGAAGGGTATTGTTTTGATGGCACACATAATATGTCTGGTCACCACGGTGAGGTGCAAGCACATCCTAAAAAAAATTGTCCTGGCTTGTTGTTTGTGCATTGCTGCATTACTTAGATCTGGCACTGCAAGAACTTGTCAGAAAAGCCAAAAATATTTTTGAGTCATTTTTCGGAGAGCAGGATATAACCAACCTACTCTGGCTGTCCCAAACAAGGCTGTGTTTCAGAGCTGAAGCAATATTGAGAATAATCCATGCCTATGGCCATAGGCGTAGCTTGACGTTTGAGTTTGGGGGGGCCAAACCGAACCGGTGGATTTGGTCAGACGTACTTTTAAACACATTTTAGTTTTGCTATAGTAAATCTACATATTCACATAGAGCAGTGGCAAGTCCGTGAGGTTGTCATGGTAACCGCATACATTGCCCACGAATTACAGCTGCGCTTCTATTTTGCCGCACTAAACTTAGCAGTAAACATGTTTAAAATGTACAATAAACATGTCTGTCAAAACGATCTCAGAGGAGGCTTTTATTAAGCAAATCAAGGAGTGAATTACTCATCCACTGTTTTTAAAACAGACATTTGTTGGACAGACACTATATTCAGACACTATATTCAAGTTAATGCACAATGAGGCGCACACTTTTTATTTAGTCTTATTGAATAGACGATAAACAGTGTATATTCTAAAATATATTTAAAGGTTGTGTTCTGTGAAAATCAAATAACATTTGGATGTAAATGGTCGGCATGAAGTAGTGTGCGGCTAAACCGGCTGCAAACTGTGGATCACCTTTATCTGATTGTCCGGGTCCGGAATCATTAAGCACGGCATTAATATCTTCATCGGAGTCCTTTTTCGTTGTCTCCAGATTTCTCTGCAGTTCGTGTATGTTGTTAAAAACGCGGAACATCATTTTATTCCACACAACAGGCAAGCATTACCGTTAAGTCTATTATCCACCAAAATGCAGATTTGTCACGTGACAATTCTTATGCAAATGAGATTGAGGGAGACATTAGGTTTGTTTTGATTTATTAATTTACTTACAATAACAATTTAAAATGTATTAACTTTTACATATTCGCTTTTACATGTATTATTAACTGCATTATATGCATTTTTACTTCATAGAAAAAACTTTATAAATAAATATTTAGTAAAATTCTTAAATCGCTATGGGGGAGCCAGGCACCCCTGGCCCCCCCACAAGCTACGCCCATGCCTATGGCCCTATTTTACAAACTCTAGATTCACTTCAGCGTTGAATCCCGCTCGGAACAGGGCGAGTTGGACCGGTTACATTTGGTGCCAGTGACCCGGATGGGAGTGAGGTTTATGGGGGTGAGTGTAACTAGGCGTGTTTCCATTACCCTTCAAATTGCGCAAATTGATAAATTACTGAACAGCACTTCACGCCGCAGCTAATGAGATCAAAACAGAGGAGTTAGCAACTTTCCAGGGCATTATCATGTTCTGTTTCAAATCCCGGCTATTGACATAATTGGGCAGCTGAACACTGCGGTGACTATAGCAGTCCACACTCTATTCAGTGCCATGTCAGCCAAACTGTGTGTAAAGAGACTCAAAATAATAAGGTCTCCTGTGAATTCAACCTGTGAGAGAGGTGCCATAGGAGCCATCGTTTTGAGCTTCACAGTAAGCGGCACTGCAGAGTTAAATGCCCCATGTGGCCACTCTCCAGTATAAGGGGCTTTCCCTACCATCAGGGGCAGTCTGGACATCTGGACTCGTCCATTCGATGGCCGTCGGCCTGGCTGGTTCATCATCAAAGAAAAAGTGTCAGATTAATTGACGTTGACGGCCGACAAAAGGGGGCGCTAATGCAATCTATTTTTGCTTATAAGAAACCAAAACTGACGCGAAAGAGAGTGGGCTTGTGATGGCAAGCAAAAGACTTGAAGATAAAGGAGGTTGGGAGAAGCTAAAACGAAAAAAGCGAACAGTTACATCAGGTTACCTTTGCCCGCCTCTCTCACTATACACAGCATGTAGCTATAGCACTATAATCAAATCCCAGGTCTGAGCGTCCACTGCTATTTATCTGGCATGAATATTCCATTCATTCATAAAGAGACAGCAGCGATTCTACAATGGGTTACATTTGAGAGCTATTGAGCTAGAAAATAGAGTAAATGAAGTAGCCTATAAGGTGATTAGTCTGATTAACATGACACACACACACACAGAGAGAGAGAGAGAGAGAGACATATGAATACTCAAATTAAAGAATTCTGTTGTTTCAGGATTCTAGATTCTAGGTTTATGTTTATCATTGTCATATACATTTTGCATTTGCAAAAAAAAAAAATTTAATCCAACCAGCTGGGTCAAAATAACCTAGCATGTGTTCTGTCCAATATTTACTCAGAGCTGGGTTGCCAAATAACCCAAGTTGGGTTGTTTTTAACCCAGCATTTTTTAAGAGTGCAACAACATTGACATAGCGGCCCTGTATCTGCAGCTGAGGATGCTGAGTGTTTTCACAAACCCCGAGAATTTCCATACTATTCATGAAATTGACATTATTTGTCAAAAATGCATTTGCAAAATGGGGATTTCTTCAAGGAGGTGGAAAAGCTCATCCAGTTAAGCTTATGTTTAACTGTGTCTACTGCATCTACAGAGAGATAATTGTTTTAGCACTTTGGCATCTCAAAATGTGGCTTCTAACTTCTGTTTCTCAAGGAAGGCTTATACATTTGGCCTTGATAAATGCAGGGCTGTCCCAAGCTGGTACCCCTGGAAAAACATAAGACTAATCTGTTGGCTTACAAGAGAGTTAGAGCGAATGGATGGATAATTACAAAGAAATTTCTGTTTAAGAATAAGATACACATATGGACAAAATTTGGAATATGGTACAAAGTACTATAAAAGGTAAAAAGACATTTCAAATACCAGTTTTAGTAGAGAATGATGTAGTATCATCATATAAATCAGATATAAATAAAGTATCAGATATAAAGTAAATCTATTAGGAAAAGTATTATAAAGCTCTTATAAAACAGAATTTGAATTTTATAGAATTCAAGAATTTGAGCAAAGTAAGAATTATACTAGAAAAAATGCTGATATTATGAAGAAGAACTACAAGTTAAATTACAAAGCTGTGCTAATGCTGTACCTGGACAGGATAGTCAATGTTTAAACATTTATCAGATCAATCATAAAATTTGACATGGAAACAGGCAGTAGGAATACCAACTGTAAAGCAAGGGAAAGATCCAAATATACCTGGAAGTTGTTGTCCAGTAGTGTTGACCTCAAATCTATGCAAATTAATGGGTAAAAATTATAAAGAAAGGGAAATATTGTAAATATCAATGTGGGTTCGGGAGTGGAAGATCGACATTGTATGCTTTAGTAAAAATAATATAAAATAATAATGACATTAATAAAACAATTATTATGAGAGAAATCATGGCTGTGGTATATTTTAATATTGAAAAAGTGAATTATATGGTATGGAGAGAAGGCTTGTTAATAAACGCTGCTAGAATAGGAATAGTAAGTAGAAGCCAGTCTTCTATACTTATAATGCAGCAAATGGTATACCACAAGGGAGTGCAATTGTTAAAGGGGTCATATGATGCTGCTAAAAATAACATTATTTTGTGTATTTGGTGTAATAAAATGTGTTTATGCGATTTAAGGTTCAAAAAACACATTATTTTCCATACTGTACATTATCGTTTCTCCTCTATGCCCCACCTTTCTGAAACGCGTCGATTTTTACAAAGCTCATCGGTCTGATAAGCGAGGTGTGCTCTGATTGGCCAGCTATCCAGTGCGTTGTGATTGGCCGAATACCTCAAGCGTGTGACGGAAATGTTACGTCCCTTACCATATTGTGATGCCTGCGGGGACTCCGCTTCGCCCACGGTACGAAGGAGCGTCCGGAAGGACATGTGACGACCCCGGGCTGGACTCCGCTTCGCCCACGGTGAAAGCCGATCCGGCGATCGACAGCGCGAAGTTGAAGTATTTCCTCAGCAACCAGCACGGATCAGCTCCAGGCATGACGAAGCAGATATCGTCCTCTTTTGGAAGGCCAAACAAAGTAGTTTCGCTTTCACAACGAAGCACACAGCGCCTTCATGACATGGCGGCGGCGGCAACAATACTACAGCGAGAATAAAAGTTACACCTTCTTTCTTTGCGTGAAGATGTGGGAAGAGTTGCATAACGCCGCCCAAATAGTGACGTAGATATGTGGGGGCGTGTTAGAACGAGCCGTTTTAGGTAGGCGTGGCTGACTCTTAACTTTTATAAAGAATATCTCTTTGGATTTTGTGACTTTAGTCTTTGCAACTTTGCAATCTTCTTTATGCACCAAGAGCTTGTAACACTCCAAAGAGAAAGGAAAAATTGAAATTGCATGATATGACCCCTTTAATGTAGTATTAAGTTAATGTAGTGTTAAGCAATCAAATCTTTATTAAAAAATTAGATATCATACAATCCAGAGCGTTAAGAATATGTTGTGGAGCAGTTAAAACATCCCCTGTAGGTGCAATTGGGGTCGAAATGGGAGAGATGCCTCTAGAGCTTCGAAGGGTAAAATTGGCAATGATATATTGGGTGAATCTTCAACAATCAGTAAATCATCTCACTCGTTAAGTATTGGAGGAATGTTGGGAATACTCATATGATGGAGGATATAGTTTTGGGTGGAAGAGTAGAATATGGGCTAAGGGGGCATGGATAACAAGATCTTCTGTCCTAATGTACCACTCACTGATGCCCCGCCATGGAAAGTCCCTGAACCACTTGTAGATTTGAGCTTCCTAGACAAGCCCAAAGATGAATATATTGGAAAGGAGGTTAATGCTATTTTATATAATACATTTTATTCAACTTTACAAATATATACAGATGGATCTAAGGAACCTGTTAGTCAAAAGTTTTAAAGAAATTTAAAATACGCATTAGTTTGAAATTACCCGAGGATTTATCAGTACACTGCAGAGTTAACAGCTATAATAATAGAACCAAATAGAGTAGTAATATGTTCAGATTCTTCTTCAGCTTTAATTAGTTTAATGCATGCAAGATCAGACAAAGAAGATTTATTAATGGACATATATCTATTCAGTTGAAAGAGGCTGGAATAATGGTATATTTTTGTTAGGTGCCAGGCAAGCACATGTTGGGGTATCTGGTAATGAAGTTGCTGATAAACTAGCAAAAGAAGCACTAGACTATGGAAGTGGATGTTAAAGTAACTATGGGATAAAAAGAGGCAAAATCGATCTTAAAGAAAAAGTTAATGAATAAATGGCAAATTAGATGGGATAATAGCAGCACAGGGAGATGGTGTTATAGTATTGCACAGACAGTATGGGAGGATAAATTGTCAGGGAAGAAAGAGGAAAGAAGAGGCTGTCTAGATTAAGACTGGGACCCACAGGGTTGAAATCAACACTGGCACTTATGGGTTTGCATGAAAACGGGTTATGTGATGCGTGTGGTGTACCAGAAAATGTACATCATGTGCTTTTTAGGTGTGGTAAATATAGTATATTATGATATATTATTTAGTCACTTTAGGGAGGAGGGGACGATGCATGAAGATATTTTAGGAAAAGGTTTAATGGATAGACAGGTATACAGAGCATTAATTAAATATATATGACTCAGGTTTAGGATCTAGAATATAATTTGTGTGGATGGGAATAGTCTGGAGCATGAAGAGCTAATTGTAAGTGTCAGAGGAGCTAAAAACGCAGCGCTATCATGAGAATGTGCTCTGAGTGCTCCATAGATTGGAGAGAAACATTCACACATTTTTTTAAGTATACATTTCTGGCCCACACTCCAACACAGTAGGTGGCAGATATGCACCTTAAATGTTAGTTGCCACCCGCCATTATAAAAAGACGAAGAAGATGAAGAAGAAGAAGAAGAAGGGATGGCTGGGAGTTGATAATATTTCTTTAAAAGTATTGTTAGGAAATGGGTCAATGCAATCAAGAGTGCATGAAATATTATTTAAATACCTGAAAAACACAGGAACAATAGATAGAATCTAGTTTTTTACCCCCCTTCGTCCAAATCTATACTCCACACTCCAGACTTGCTCCAGATCAGTAGGTGGTGGTAATGCACCTTTTTTCGCTGGCTTGCCAAACCGCCATAAAACACCAGATGAAGGAGAAGAAGAAGAACGAAGCCAAATAGGACTCCGACTGTAATTTGCTCAGATTCTTCATCAGCTCTTAAAAGTATATTGTCGACAAAAACTGATAGAGAAGACCTGCTAGTAGAAATGTATACATTACTGTACAGACTGAAAATAGAGGGTATAATCGTGTTTTGTTGGGTACCGGCACATATCGGGATAGTAGGAAATGAAACAGCGGACAAGTTAGCAAAAGAAACTTTAAAGAAAAACTTGGTGGATGTTAAGGTACCTCTGGGAAGAAATGAGATAACATCAGTAATTAATAGGGAAATAATAAGAATATGGCAACAAAGATGGGAAAATAGCAGCACAGGTAGGTGGTATTATAATATTGTAAAATCAGTAGGGAAAAAATAACAGTTTTATGGAAGACAGAAAGGAAGAAGTAATGATTTCTAGATTAAGGATGGGTCACACAGGACTAAATTCAACACTTGCATTAACGGGAAAGCATGAAAATGGTATGTGTGATGAATGTGATGTTTTTGAAACAGTAGAGCATGTGCTCTTTAAATGTAGTAAATATGAAGATCAGCGTAACAGTCTTTTTAGCAATATAAGGAACAGACCAGTGAGTGCCGTGGACCTTCTGAGAAAGGGTTTGAGTGATAGTCAGATGTTTAAGGTGGTTTTTAACATTTTTAGAGCTTGCAGGATTAGACCACAGGATTTAGTGTTTGAGGATGAGGATCATGATGCTTCTGCCCATCTTGGAGCGTGAGTATTTGTAATTCGTTACTTCACACCCCTGGCGGTAACACTCCTAAGGAGTGAACGGCCATTGAACAAAAAGAAGAAGAAGAACGATACGATACGGCGTGTACGCGAACTTCCGGTGATGTGGTTTTCTGACGCGGCACGGAATGGCGGCTAGTTCAAATAAACCAAAAAATACGAATACTAGATATCAAGGAAATCAAACTGGGAATGGATCAGAGACTCTAAGAATGGAAGACACGGGTGAAGAGGAGGATGATATGGAGGTAGGATGGACACAGGTCAGAACAGGAAAGAAGGTTACTAAAAAGAGGGAAAAAAGTAAGGAGGAAAGATCGGAAAGTAGTTCGATAACCAGTGAGGAAGATGGGGATGAAAGAAATAAGATCAAGAGTGAATTCAGGATAATATTGAAATTCAAAGAAGAGATAGGAGTTTCAGGAGTAAATCCATTGGCGTTGACTTATGAATTGAAAAAAATGGTAGGCGAAATAGCATTTGCAAAAGTGCTACAGGACGGTGCTTTATTGATAGCATGCAGGAGTGAAGATCAAAAAAATAAAGCCATAAAACTAAAAACAGTGGGAAAACAGATGGTAACGAATTACAAGATTGTAGGACAGAATTCGTGGGTGTATGGGGTAATAAATGGAATTCCTTTAGGAGTTACTATGGAGGAATTAAAAAAGAATCTAGAAGGGGGAAAGTTCATAGATGCAGTCCGCTTACAAATGAACAGAGAAGGGAGAAGAGTGGATAGCTTATCAGTACGTCTAAAATTGGAAGGAAAAGAATTGCCAGACTGAATTAAGATGGGTTATATAAGTTACCCGATTAGGAAGTATATAGCCCCTCCTTTGAGGTGTTATAATTGCCAGAGGTATGGGCATACTGCGTCAATGTGTAAATCTAAAATTAGGTGTGCGCGTTGTGGAGAGGAGTATGAATTTGGGAAATGCGGAGAAGGTGTAGGATTGAAGTGTTGCAACTGTGGAGGTAGTCACAATGCGGCATACGGGGGTTGTGAGGCGAGGAAAATGGCAGGGGAAGTACAACAGGAAAAGCCAAAAACAATCTTACTTATGCTGAAGTTGTGAAGGTAGTAAATGGTAGGAATAGGCAAAGTAGGACAGACAGAATGGAGAATGGAAAAGGAAGTGAAGGGACTGAAAGAACAGTTGAAGGCAGAATACCAGAAGATACAATGATAGTAAGCAAGATAAATATTGTGCTCTTCATGGTAGAGGTAATTAACTGTACAGCACAAACAGAAAGAAGAACGGAAAAATTACAAATAATTGTAAAAGCGGCAGAGAGATTTCTAGAAATAAAGGGATTGAAATGCGAAGATATAATGAAAAGCCTTAGTACAGAATCTCAATCAAGTCAGGAGATATGGGTTGGTTAGTATTTTTTATGTTAATTATCTTACAATGGAATGCCAGAAGCCTTTGTGCCAATGGTCAAGAATTTAAAGGATATATAAGCCAAATGAAAGATAAGCCAGATGTAGTATGTATTCAAGAGTCATGGTTGAATCCTAGATTAGATTTTGTTTTAAAAGGATATATAAGTGTGAGAAGAGACAGGGAAGAAGGAAAAGGAGGAGGATGTGTCACATTTTTAAAAGAGGGAATGCCTTATAGAGTTTTGGAGAAAGGGGTAACATTGGAGTATATAGTTGTAGAAATATGGCATGGAAATAAGAATTATGTTATGATAAACTTTTACAATCCATGCAAAAGATTAACACAAGAAAGTATGGAAGCTATAAAAGGATTAAGTGGAGATAGAGTTATTTGGTGTGGGGATTTTATTGCCCATAATACTTTATGGGGGGGGGGGGTTTATTGACAGATGCAAATGGTCTGGTCATTGAAGAGTTGATGAAAAATAAAACTTGGCTTGCATAAATGATGGAACCTATACACGTATGCATGTAAATTCAGGAAGAGAATCAGCAATAGATCTAACAATTGTGTCTAATGCATTAGGAGGAATAATAAATTGGGAGGTATAAAAAAAATTGTACAGCTGGTAGTGATCATTTTCCTGTTTTAAGCTCAATAGTAAATAATGACATAAGGAAGGTAAAGCAAGTAGATACAGGAAAGTGGAGGTATGAGAAAGCAGACTGGGAGAAATTCAAAAGAGAGTGTGAGGAAGGATTGAAAATGATCAAGATGAATGAAGGAATAATAATTGAAAGAATATATACAGAGTTAATATCAGTGATACAAAGTGCTGCTAGTGAATGCATTCAGAAAAGCAAAGGAAAGAGGGTGGGAAAAATAGTTCCATGGTGGAATGAGAGATGTACAATAGTAGTTAAAAGGAAAAAGAAAGCATTCAAAATTCTAAGGAAAACTCACAATTGGGAAAACATGATAATATATAAAAAGACTCAAGCAGAAACTAGAAGGACAATAAGGGAAGTGAAGAAAGAGTATTGGAGATCATTCTGTGAAGAAATAGGGAAAAACACTCCATTTGAGGACGTGTGGAGTATGATTAAAAAGATGAGCGGGATTCAAAGAGAATATGATTACCCTGTGTTAAATATTGGGGATGAAATAGCAATAAGTGATGAGAAGAAAGCAGAAATGTTTCGAAAGGAATTTTCAAAAATTAATAGTTCAGATAATTTGACGAAGGAATGTAAGGAAATGAGGGAGAAGTTGTTAAAATAGCATCCATATATTATGGGAAAAAAGAGAGTAACAAATGGTTTACTTGATGTCCCTTTTTCATCTTCAATTAAAGAGGGCATTAAAAAACACTAAGGATTCAACTCCAGGACAAGATGGAATTAGTTATGTAATGTTAAAAAAGTTAAGTGATGAATCTCTTAAAATCGTTCTAGAGTTTTATAACAGGGTATGGGAAGAAGGGACTTTACCTAAGAGCTGGAAAGAAGCTTTAATAATTCAGATAAAAAAAACAGGTAAAGACCCAAGTACACCTTTAAAAGGGTCATATGATGCGGTTTTTTCTGCAAATTTTTCGTTTCTCTTTGGAGTGTTACAAGCTCTTGGTGCATAAAGAAGATCTGTAAAGTTGCAAAGACTAAAGTCTCAAACCCAAAGAGATATTCTTTTTAAAAGTTAAGACTTGTCCACGCCCTCCTAAAACGCCTCGTTTAAAAACGCCCCCACATGTCTAGGTCACTGTGTGGGAAGATTTGCATAACGCCGCCCAAATGTTCATGCAAAGAAAGAAGGCGTAACTTTTATTCTCGCTGTAGTATTGTTGCCGCCGCCGCCATGTTGTGGATATGCTGTGTGTTTCATTGTGAAAGCGAAACTACTTTGTTTGGCCTTCCAAAAGAGGACGATATCCGCTTTGTCATGCCTAGAGCTGATCCGTGCTGGTCGCTGAGGAAAAACATCAAATAAACTTTTACAATCCATGCAAAAGATTAACACAAGAAAGTATGGAAGCTATAAAAGGATTAAGTGGAGATAGAGTTATTTGGTGTGGGGATTTTATTGCCCATAATACTTTATGGGGGGGGGGGGTTTATTGACAGATGCAAATGGTCTGGTCATTGAAGAGTTGATGAAAAATAAAACTTGGCTTGCATAAATGATGGAACCTATACACGTATGCATGTAAATTCAGGAAGAGAATCAGCAATAGATCTAACAATTGTTTCTAATGCATTAGGAGGAATAATAAATTGGGAGGTATTAAAAAATTGTACAGCTAGTAGTGATCATTTTCCTGTTTTAAGCTCAATAGTAAATAATGACATAAGGAAGGTAAAGCAAGTAGATACAGGAAAGTGGAGGTATGAGAAAGCAGACTGGGAGAAATTCAAAAGAGAGTGTGAGGAAGGATTGAAAATGATCAAGATGAATGAAGGAATAATAATTGAAAGAATATATACAGAGTTAATATCAGTGATACAAAGTGCTGCTAGTGAATGCATTCAGAAAAGCAAAGGAAAGAGGGTGGGAAAAATAGTTCCATGGTGGAATGAGAGATGTACAATAGTAGTTAAAAGGAAAAAGAAAGCATTCAAAATTCTAAGGAAAACTCACAATTGGGAAAACATGATAACATATAAAAAAGACTAGAAGAACAATAAGGGAAGTGAAGAAAGAGTATTGGAGATCATTCTGTGAAGAAATAGGGAAAAACACTCCATTTGAGGACGTGTGGAGTATGATTAAAAAGATGAGCGGGATTCAAAGAGAATATGATTACCCTGTGTTAAATATTGGGGATGAAATAGCAATAAGTGATGAGAAGAAAGCAGAAATGTTTCGAAAGGAATTTTCAAAAATTAATAGTTCAGATAATTTGACGAAGGAATGTAAGGAAATGAGGGAGAAGTTGTTAAAATAGCATCCATATATTATGGGAAAAAAGAGAGTAACAAATGGTTTACTTGATGTCCCTTTTTCATCTTCAATTAAAGAGGGCATTAAAAAACACAAAGGATTCAACTCCAGGACAAGATGGAATTAGTTATGTAATGTTAAAAAAGTTAAGTGATGAATCTCTTAAAATCGTTCTAGAGTTTTATAACAGGGTATGGGAAGAAGGGACTTTACCTAAGAGCTGGAAAGAAGCTTTAATAATTCAGATAAAAAAAACAGGTAAAGACCCAAGTACACCTTTAAAAGGGTCATATGATGCGGTTTTTTCTGCAAATTTTTCGTTTCTCTTTGGAGTGTTACAAGCTCTTGGTGCATAAAGAAGATCTGTAAAGTTGCAAAGAGACTGTATGATGGAAACACAGTATGGTAGGGGCGTAACATTTCCGTCACACGCTTGAGGTATTCGGCCAATCACAACGCACTGGATAGCTGGCCAATCAGAGCACACCTCGCTTTTCAGACCGATGAGCTTTGTAAAAATCGACGCGTTTCAGAAAGGCGGGGCATAGAGGAGAAACAATAATGTACATTATGTGGAAAATAATGTGTTTTTTTAACCTTAAACCGCATAAACACATTGCATTACACCAAATACACAACATAATGTTCTTTTTAGCAACATCATATGACCCCTTTAAACTATAGACCGATAGCATTAACTTCACATTTAGGTAAATTAAAGGAAAAAATGATTACAGATCGTTTAATGTACCAAATGGAGAAAATCAATTTTTCCCCCCATATCAAAATGGTTTTAGATATGGAAAGGGAACAATGGACTCAGTTATTCATTTGGAATCAGATATTAGGAAAGCTTTGATAAATAAAGAAACCGTAATAGCAGTTTTCTTTGACGTGGAGAAAGCTTATGACATGTTATGGAAGGAGGGTTTGTTGATAAAATTAGATCAAATTGGAATAGATGGAAAATTATATAATTGGATTAAAGAGTTTTTAAGTGATAGAAATATTAAAGTAAAGATTGGGGAATGTATATCAAGGAAAGGAACAATTGAGAATGGAACTCCTCAAGGGAGTGTCATAAGTCCTTTGTTGTTCATTATTATGATAAATAATGTATTTGCAACATTAGATAGAAATATAAATAAATATCTGTGGCTTAGAGGTAGGAATGTAGATTATATTGTTAATAAAATGCAAACAGCTGTAAATAATGTTGAGAGGTGGTCTTATAAATGGGGTTTTAAATTCTCAGTGGAGAAAACCAAATATATATTTTTTTACAAATAAAAGGTCAAGTATAAATTTAAAGATGAAGTTATATAATAAAGAGTTAGAACAGGTTAAAGTGATAAGATTTTTAGGTATGTGGTTTGATACAAAAGCTACATGGAATACACATAAATAAGATGGTGGATAAATGTAAGAAGATTTTAAATGTAATGAGATGTATTTCAGGACGTGAATGGGGAGCTGATAGATTGGCATTAAAAACGATTTATTTGACAATGATAAGAGCAATATTAGATTATGGTTGTATGACATACAGTTCAGCTACTAAGTCACAATTAGGAAAATTAGAGAGAATTCTATCACAAGCTTTTGAGCTTTGTTGTGGAGCTTATCCTTCTTCTCCAGTTCCAGCGTTACAGGTAGAGATGGGGAAGATGCCAATTAAATGAAGAAGAAAGCAACTGATACTGGCATATTGGGCAAACCTTAAAGGTCAGAAGGATAGTCACCCGACAAAAGGTATAATTGAGGCATGTTGGGAACACGGGAAAAGGAAAGTTAACAGTTTTGGATGGATCATTAAGGACTTAGTGCAGGACATGAAATTAAATGAGTACAGTGTCATTCCAGCAGTAATATGACCAGCAATGCCAATATGGATTTCTGATGCATTCGCATGCGTATGAATGGAAGTCAATGGAACGAAAAGTGCAGTGTGACAGCCCCTTTACACAGATGCATCTAAGGATCCACAGAATGGTCAGGTGGGGGTAGCATATATCATTCCAAGGTTGAAAGTAGCAAGAGGGAAAAGAATAACAGATCATGTTTCTGTGTTTACAGGAGAGTTAATAGCAATTATGTTAGCAAGTAATAAAATAAATGAAATAGGACTAAGCAGATCTGTAATATGCTCAGATTCAAGCTCAGCTTTGTTATGCCTAGAAGCTCAAAAGTCAGAAACTAGACACGATATAGTTTTGGAGATACTACAGATATTGTACATGATACAACAGACAAATAAAATAGTTCAGTTTTTGTGGGTTCCGGTACATACTGGAGTATCAGGGAATGAAGCAGCAGACAAGTTAGCAAAACAAGTTATGGCAAAGGAAAGTAGTTAAAATGCCCAACTTTACAGCAGAAAAAAACACGTTTACTGCCTGGTTCAAAAAATGATTTTGGTTTATATAGCTGTAACATAAATTTTGAAGTTGATGTTAAGGCTGTGGGGTTGCGTTTGTGTGTGTATTGCTTTTCTGTCCCTCGGGGCTTGCCGTAGGCAAGGTTTGGGCACGCACATGTTAACGAGAGCGCCCAGGTGTGCCATGTGAGTTTCTTTGGGAGTTAAAAAGAATAAAAAGTACATCGTTCATATAATACCCGAGTCTCGCTTTCTTTATTTTATTATTTGAAAAGTGTTTAGGCGAACCCGAGGCGTAAGCTCGGTCACATTGGTGGCAGCGGTGTTGTTTTGGTTGAGTTTAGTTAGTGTTTTAAAGTGTTTCGACGGGTGTTAAATTAGTTAGCTTAAATTCAAAAGTGTATAGTTAGTAGCACGCGTGGTCTACGCATCGTCAGTATGTGGTTCAAGGAGGAAGACAATTTTAGAGTTTTGCGGGACCGTGACAGAGGCAATAGGAGCGTGCGAATTGAATTGCCACCTCCGTTCTCCGGGGAGGAGAAACAAAGTTTTGTGTGCTGGGCGAGACAGTTTGAAGTTGCTGTCAAAGCGCTCACTGAAGGGAGTGGAACTGCTTCATACAACTATGAACTGACAAGGATTTTACCCACACGTTTAAACAACGCAGCTTTCTCTCTATGGGACAGTCTCCCTGATCCTGTTAAATCGGACTATGACAAAGTAAAAGAGAAGCTAAAAGAAGCTTTTGGAAGGAGACAGTTCATGGAGCGATTCAGGTCCAGCTTATCTGCCCGCCCTCGCGCAGCACGGGAGAGTCTAGAGGTGTATGCAGCAGAAATAAGCCGGCTAGTGGATGAGGCTTTCCCAGAGTACGGTGACAGAGCCCAGAGGGAGGAAAAGTTTTGCCGTTTCGTGGCGGGTCTGGACCCAGTGCTGAGGACGAAATGTTATGAGCAGGGAGCGACAGACATGGAGGAAGCCGTAATAATCGCAGGTCGGTGCGAGAAATGCGATGGATGTGGGATATGTGACTGCTAATGTCGGGCATAATTTGACGGCCGACGGGGCTGGGGCCAGCGTGAACTCTGTGTCGGACATTGGTGGACTGTACAAAGCAATTGATAAGTTAACTAATGAGGTAAGAGACATGAAAGTCGCCCTTAACCGTTTGGAGAACGAGAATGACAGACTGAAAGAGAGAGTGAGTCGGAGCAGTAGAGATGAGTGGAGTAGAGCGCGCTCCCCGTCACGTGAGTCAGGACAGTGCTGCTGTCAGGGGCGTGCTTGCCGTATGCAGGCATATGAGATGCAGAGAGGCCGCTCTTCTGAAAGAAAACCGTTTATGGAGTTTAATAGTCGTAAGGACTACAACTCGGCCCGTAGTCCTATGAGGTGCGCTAACAGCCCCTCCCCCAGCCCCAGCATGCGGAGACGAGGCAGTTATGAGGAGGAAACTAGGAGACAGGGAGTGCGCTTCATAACCCCTGGTGATGAGGAGAGGAATTACGAGCCGGGAAACGGGCTATAGCTCATGTTGCGGCCCAAACACCAGCTGTATTACACAGGGGCCCGAAACCTGTTGACACAACCTTATTGGACACAAACACTGACCAGGGGCCTCTGGTATCATATGTGAAAGGCACAATTGAGGGCATCGAGCTTCCTATCCTAATTGACTCTGGTTCTAGTGTATCACTGATGAGCTCTGATTTTCGAATGTCAATCCCTGCACTTCGCAGTCGACCTCTAAAGAAAGACTATATTGCAGCTCGTGCTGTAAACGGACAGATGTTGGACACGCTGGGCACACTTACTGTGACACTACAGCTGGGTACTGAAAGCTGGCAACATGTTTTTCATATAGTGAGAGAAACAACGCAGTCTGTGTTGCTGGGATGGTTCTTTTTAGTAAAAAATCATGCCCTGCTGAACATTAGTCACGCTAAGTTACAGTTATGGGACATTTCCATTCCACTTCTTACCAGCTCAGATTTTGTCCCTTCATGCTGCAATGTGTCTCTGGCCACAGACATGACACTTCCGCCCCTCAGTGAGTCAATTGTGCCAGTTAAGATTGGTTTGCCTTGGCCCAGGTGTCTAATGACTCCCAGGTGTCTAATGACTATATGGGGTATTTGGAACCTAATGTGTCGGAGTCTGCCGGTCTAGTTGTGGCACACACACTCACTAATGTGCACAATGGATTGACTAAAGCACGAATTTTGAACCCTACTGGACAGGACATTCCTATAAAACAGGGGACTCACCTGGGTGAGTTTTATTCTGTAGCTGATTCTGATATTCATCCCTTTCAGCAGGACGCAGGGGAAGGTGTTGTTCCTAGCCCACGCAACACAGCTCCTCCAATATCTTTAAGTGAATCGCCAATTTCAACATCTTATAGGGCAAAACTGGCGGCACTGTTGCAGGAGTACAGTGACATCTTTAACTTCTCAGGGAAAAATACAGGAAAATGCACGTTGGTGCAGCATCATATCAGGACTGGGGAACATGGCCCTATTAAGCAGCGCGCATACCGTGCGTCGCCTGAAAAGAGAGCTGAGATAGAGAGACAGGTGGCGGGCCTACTAGCTGAGGGTGTCATCGAAGAAAGCTGTAGCCCCTGGGTGTCTCCAGTCGTGCTTGTAAAAAAGAAATGTGGTGCCTGGCGCTTCTGCGTTGATTATAGACGCTTGAACAGTATAACGGTCCAGGACTCTCATCCTCTGCCGCATGTGGATGACACACTGGATGCATTAGCGGGCTCCAGATGGTTCAGCACATTGGATTTTTCTAATGGATACTGTCAGGTAGAGGTGGCCAACCAAGACAGAGAAAAAACAGCTTTTACTACAGGTCAGGGTCTATATCAGTGGCGCTGCATGCCGATGGGGCTTTCTAACTCCCCCGCCACTTTTCAGCGGATGATGGAGTTAGTTCTGAGAGGGCTCCCATGGCACATTTGCATGGTGTACCTGGATGATATTTTGATTTATAGTCCAACATTTGACGAGCATTTAACTCATCTGAAAGAAGTGTTTTCCAGAATATGTTCGGCAGGTTTGAAATTGAACCCCAGAAAATGCAACTTGGCTAGGGATCACGTGATATTCCAGGGTTATGTTGTTTCAGAGAAAGGTCTCCAGCCTGACCCGAGAAACACAGAGAAGATTCGAAATTGGCCAGTTCCACAGTCTCCCTCGGAGGTTAGAGCATTTGTGGGACTGTGTTCATACTATCGACACTTTGTAAAGGACTTTTCAAAACATGCAGCCCCGCTGAATCAGCTGGTGGGCAAAAATGTGCCTTTTGTATGGAATACCGATTGTGACAACGCATTTAACTACTTGAAGGAAGTGCTGTCTTCAGCTCCCATCGTGACACTGCCTGATTTCAAAGTGCCTTTCAAAGTTTATACGGATGCCTCCAAGTGGGCTGTGGGTGCTGTACTTGCACAGGGAAAAGATGGACTAGAGCACGTAGTAGCGTATGCCAGCCGCGCCTTGAATGTCACACAGAGACGTTGGTCTACTTTTGACCGGGAGTTATGGGCTATTGTGTGGGCAGTGAGAGAACACTGATCTTGGACTTTCCAAGATCAGACACTATCTTGGACTTTCTTCATTTACTATCATTACGGATCATCGCCCACTTCTAGCGCTACGACGTATGTCCCTTGAGGATGACCCAACGGGCAGAAGGGCTAGATGGCTTTTGGAATTGGACCCGCTGAATTGGGTCATTCTGCACAAAGAGGGCAATCAACATAAAAATGCTGATGCACTGTCCCGCTGCCCGGTGACACCAGACTTTAAGGACAGTGTGACGGCAGTTAAATTGGTGAGGGACGTGAATGTGGTGAATACTGACCAGTCGGATAATGACATGTCTTGTTCTACTGAGACCGCTGAGGTGCCTGAAAAAGAGACTGTATCTAATTTGTCCTTAAGTACTGACAACATTTTGAGCATGTTTGATTTGTCATACGATCTAGCGGACATTGTTACTATGCAGCAGAATGATCCAGATATTGACACAGTGCGGCACTGGGTAGAGCAATCACGAAGGCCTCCTAAGAGACAGCTGGCAGGTACATCTCAGAATTTACGTAAATATTGGACTGAGTTTAATCGTCTGTCCATAATAAATGGACTGTTGTGTCGCTCAGTTTCCTGTCCTCCCACAGGCGACCCTGTTGCTCAGGTTGTAGTTCCTCCTGCTCTTAAACATGACATACTTTTGCAGCTCCACGGGGCCCCAACTGCTGCTCATTTTTCTCCAGAACGAGTGTGGGAACGGGCGAGGCGTTTTTGCTACTGGCCATCTATGTTTAAGGACATTAAGACGTGGTGCGAGCAATGCACAGCGTGTCAAACTCGTCGTAAGCCGGTCCCAACTCATCAAGCACCTATGGGTGGGTCCCTGACAACGCGACCCTTTGAGAGAGTCGCAATGGACATTTTGGAACTACCAATAACAACCAAAGAAAATCGGTATGTACTGGTAGTTGAGGATTATTTCACAAAATTTGTTAACCTGTATGCCCTGCCTAACCAATCTGCACAGACTGTCGCTCACTGCTTGTTTGAGGACTACATTTTGATACACGGCATTCCTGAATCTTTACACTCTGATCAGGGCCGCCAGTTTGAATCAGAGGTGGTCTCGACTCTCTGTCGTTTGCTGAATATAAAGAAAACGCACACCACTCCCTACCACCCAGCGTCCGACGGCATGGTGGAACGTTTTAACAGAACATTGACTGATCAGATGGCTAAGATACTGTTGTCATGTGGGGGTGAGTGGAACAATTATATCAAACAGGTGGCATTTGCGTACAATTCCTCACCTCATTCTAGCACCAAGTTCTCACCTTACTTTCTGGTTCATGGACGAGAACCAAGGATGCCCACTGACTTGTTACTAGCCACGCATACACTTGACCAGAACATTTCAACATCTCATGCTGCATTCGTGTCCACTTTGCTTGCAAATCTACAGGATACTTTCAGGAGTGCTAGAATGTACAGTGAAGTGGCTCATGATCGGCAGAAACTGTATCATGATTCAGGCCACCAGTCCTATGCAGTCGGTGCCATGGTGTGGCTCCATAATCCAGTGGAGAGCCGCATGAAGCTGGCGCCCCACTGGAAGGGACCTTTTAAGATTGCACAAATATCTCATGCTGCATTCATGTCCACTTTGCTTGCAAATCTACAGGATGCTTTCAGGAGTGCTAGAATGTACAGTGAAGTGGCTCATGATCGGCAGAAACTGTATCATGATTCAGGCCACCAGTCCTATGCAGTCGGTGCCATGGTGTGGCTCCATAATCCAGTGGAGAGCCGCATGAAGCTGGCGCCCCACTGGAAGGGACCTTTTAAGATTGCACAAATCTTTGACTCTGGTGGTGAGCCAGGACTGACATACTGGATTGTTAGCCCTATGGACTCAGATGGACAAGGACAGGTTGTGCATTACAATAGGTTGAGAAAAAGGATTGGACAAAATGACGACTGTTTAAGTAAATTGTACTGGTGTTTTAGATGGTACAAATTGTTTTAGGGTTAGATGCAGATTAAGGTATTATGCATGTTAATGCTTATTATTATTGTTTTGTTGCCTGTTCTATCCTTTACTGTTTGAAAGATAAACAAGGACGTTTATTTTAGGGGGATGGGACGTATGTAACATAAATTTTGAAGTTGATGTTAAGGCTGTGGGGTTGCGTTTGTGTGTGTATTGCTTTTCTGTCCCTCGGGGCTTGCCGTAGGCAAGGTTTGGGCACACACATGTTAACGAGAGCGCCCAGGTGTGCCATGTGAGTTTCTTTGGAGTTAAGAAGAATAAAAAGTACATCGTTCATATAATACCCGAGCCTCGCGGATCGTTAGCCCTATGGACAAGGACAGGTTGTGCATTACAATAGATTGAGACCTTATACATTGCCGGTTCCCACACTGTCATCTGATGAGAGACTATCTATGGTTCCTCATTCTTTGCCTGATTCCCCTTCTAAAGAGTCTGACATGTTAGGAGGGTTGCAGCACAGTGAACCTCAAAAGGATTTAAGTGAGGCACTGGAGGGACCTGATAAGTGCATATCTGGTGGGAGACCAGCTCCCGCCTTTTTGCCCATTTTCGATTATCCGGGAGTGGCGACGGCCGGCTCTGCCCACTTTTGAGCTTCAAAAACCTCTTCAGGAACCTACGGGTGACGTCACGGACACTACGTCCATGTTTTTATACAGTCTATGGTTTACAGGAGAGTTAATAGCAATTATGTAATGATTAAAATAAATGAAATAGGACTAAGCAGATCTGTAATATGCTCAGATTCAAGCTCAGCTTTGTTATGCCTAGAAGCTCAAAAGTCAGAAACTAGACAAGATATTGTTTTGGAGATACTACAGATATTGTGCATGATACAATAGACAAATAAAATAGTTCAGTTTTTGTGGGTTCCGGCACATACTGGGGTGTCAGGGAATGAAGCAGCAGACAAGTTAGCAAAACAAGTTATGGCAAAGGAAAGTATAGATATGGAAATAATGTATAGCAAAGCAGAACTCAAATCAATATTAAAAAGGGAGATAAATAAAAACTGGCAATATTATTGGGATAATGAACAAAAGGGAAGGCATCTACACTTAAAACAACCATTGGTAGGAAGAGGAAGGAACTCAAGTGGGAGAAGGAAAGAAGACTGTATTATTTCTAGATTAAGACTTGGACATACAGGTCTTAATTCAACCATGCATATAATAGGAAGACACCCTACAGGATTGTGTGATTGGTGTGGTATTAAAGAAACAGTGGAACGTGTACTCATTAAGTGTAATATATATTCAGAGGAAAGAAGTAATCTAATAGAATTTAAGAAGAAAGGTGTTCAACCATTAACATTAAAAAAGCCTTTAAATACAGTTGAAGGGGATAATTTATTAATAAATTTTTTAAATAGAACTCATTTAATGAATAGAATATAGATAGGCTATTGTTATTATTAATAATGATAGTAATGGTAGTGATAGTGATAATAATAGTAGTAGTATTAATAATAATAAGAATAATATTGTTGTTATTTCTCCTCTCTGGACTGTGATGGACTTCGGCTGTAGATGGAGGAGCTGAACACGCAGCAACATTGAAAGCACGAGTCCCGAATGGTCTGGGGAGTAGGGAATGGGATATAGCGTCTCTGATCCATTACCACAGTAGATGGCGGTAATGCTCTTTTAAGAATGCGAACCGCCAATAAGCTCAAAGAAGAAGAAGAAGAACGATACAAGAAGAAGAAGAAGAAGAAGAAGAAGAAGGGTAGGATTGAAAAGTTTGTTGCAGTCTGGAGTCGGAGGCATACTACCGAATTATTAGCTATCATACTAGCTCTACAGTGGATTGAAGAAGTTCAACCAGATAGAACTGTGATATGTGCGGAACTTGAAGTAAAGCTGAATTCAAGAGAGTGATATCATTTGAAGTAAGTAAGAAATGGCAAAAGTTATGGAATAATGGGTCTAAAGGAAGACATCTTTTCCAGATTCAGGAGTGTGTTGGAAATGAGAGGAAAAGATACGGAAATAGAAAGAAAGATGTCATCTTATCAAGACTAAGAATCGGACATACGGCATTAAACTATAGTCTTTATAAAATAGGTAAGCATGAATCGGGAAAGTGTGACAAATGTGGAGAATTAGAAACAGTGAAACATATTATTGTTGAGTGTTCTGCATATGAAAGGGAGAGATTTCAATTAATTCAAGAATTAGGATGGCTGGGAGTTGATAATATTTCTTTAAAAGTATTGTTAGGAAATGGGTCGAGGCAATCAAGAGTGCAAGAAAATATGTTTAAATACCTGAAAAACACAGGAACAATAGATAGAATCTAGTTTTTTATTTATTTTTTCTCCTTTCTTTCCCTTCTGTATTTCTTTCTTCCAAATTTATGCACACTCCAGATCAGTAGGTGGCGGTAATGCACCTCTTTCGCTGGTGTGCCAAACCGCCATAAAACACCAGAAGAAGAAGAAGGGGTTGCTGTGTTTGTTGTGATTCAGCTGAAGAAAGGTTTGTGTTTCTAAACATGTAGGAGTTTAAACCGATATAAGAAGTTATTTAGTCAACTTTATAGTTGACAGGAGCTTTCAACTGCTTTAATTGTTATTGAATGTAACGGTCAAGTGCTTGATTTTGTTATTTTTTAAGCGCAACCACACATGAGAAACAGAACGGGTATGTCTCATTTAGCTCCTAATATCGTCAGCAGTATTGTGAACAAAAATGAAGAACGCTGGCAAGTAGTTTCGCATTTGTACGAAGCTGTCTTGTTTCAGAAAAGCGCTCATTACATTACAAAGTAAGAAAGAAATTACTGTAATAATTACTCCTCGCGAGGATTATATCCTGGCGACAACTGCTGTTCAAAACAGCGTGAACCCAAGTAGAGCACAAACATGTTACAATGACCCTTTTAAAACCAACTACGAATGGTTTGTTGAATGTGTAATCTGTTAAATGTAATATGCAGTACTGACTAGAGAGCTGATTGAGACCTACCCAGAAATTTAGGTTGTATTTATTTTTCTTTCCGTTAATTATTCTCATCTCAAACATAACAGTGTCCAGAAAAATCTCCCATTATAAAGATGGCGTTTATTAAAGAGGAGAGTGAAGACATGAAGATTGAAGAAGCATTCAGTGTGAAAGAAGAAGATACTGAGGAACAAACAGGTTGGTTTCAAATGAAAGGTGAACTTGGTCATTTCATCCTTATTAAAATGTTGACCACTACAGAAATGCTGTTTATTATTTATAGCTAAATAATACCACTTTCATAACAACAACACACATCTATATATATATATATGAAGAGTTCATTTGCAAAAACGGATAACTCAATTTTTAACAATTTTCAAAAATCATGTTTTTTCATTGTGCATTCCAGTTAGTCTCAGTCAAACTGCAGTTGGGTTATTTTGATTAGGTTAAAAAATAACTAAAAATACAGCTATCTAACACAATAAAAACATGACATAATAAAAAACATGATTTTTATATACATTTTTTTCAATTTTCAAAGTCAATTATGTTGGTTTGGTACCCAGTCTGCCATCCTTTAGCTTTATCTCTTTTCTTTTTTGAAAGCCTTGTTTCAGCTTAATTTCTGTTGATTAGGTCATTGCAGTTATTCTTCCCCCTGGGGTGTTTTTATAATGTTGATATGATTTTTACATTAACAGTTGACATAGTTTCTACCCTGATTTTGGCCCTCTGATTTGAATAATCCATGTAAGGGACCTTAAAGGGGACCTTTTATGCAAAAATCACTTTTTTACACAGTGTGTAACACAGTGTGTCCAAACAACCAGCCTATAATGGTAAAAGACCACCCACTCCTTTTTTTAACTCTTTCCCCACCATCTCGTCAATTAAGAGACAACACTTCCCCGCGAAAGACGAGTTTTTACGGCAATCCGTGTTCTAGGTGTATTATGGTAAGGAAAGCCCTAGCGCATGTCCTGAATGAGTTACGGGACTTCGGGTGCGAAATTCAAAGGCATAACGGAAACGGAAAATGTAGATCATATCACATATAAAAATGAAGAGGTATACAGCTGAACAGGCCCTGGAGGTGTTGATGAACTCGGACTCCAATCACTCGTGTTTTGATCATTTTGAATCTGATTGGGACGAAGTAGTCAGTGAGGGAGATGCCTTTACAGACACAGAAACGTCTAGTGTCGTGGATAGACCGATAACCCGTCGATCTGGACGAAGACGACGTGCACCGGCCTGTTTACGTGTGGACACTGATAGTTCAGACGGCGATACTTCGGACACTTCGTGGAGAGATTCAAGGCCGTCTCATTCTCCGTTCCGATGTGCCAGAGTCAATAGAGGTAAGACAGATAAGGAAATGGTAAAAAAAGTCTCTTTCTTGTGCACATTTGGTGTACATATACATATAGTTATATATATGTGTGCACGCATAAATGTATATGTATGTGTGTATATATATATATATATATGTGTGTGTGTGTGTGTGTGTGTGTGTGTGTGCATGTGATCTATATATGTATATAAACATATGTATGTATATTTGTGTGTATAAACATTTGTATGTATATGTGTGTGTGTGTGTGTGTCTGTTCTGTTTATTGAATACAATTTCATTTATTCATATAATTATTTACAGGTAGAACACCGCAACGAGGCAGAGGTCAGACGCGTGAAGCACATCGACATGGTCCTGCTGGTGACCAGACATGGGCCGCTGTGAACCATCCAGCTGAAGATCCTGAACCTGTTCATGAGTGGCATGAAATGAACTGGCAGCCAAAAAACCTTCCCTTCACTGAGAATCCTGGGCCTGTCGGTGATGCTGCTGCTCTTGATTCAATAGAACCTAAAGACTTTATTGAGCTGTTCATTTCTGATGAACTGATTCAGAACATTGTTGATCAGACCAACCTGTATGCAGATCAGTGTATTCAGGCTATGGACGGTACTTCACAACATGCTAGAATTCATGCATGGAAGCCTGTCACAGTTTCAGAAATGAAAGTCTTCCTGGGGCTGTTTTTTCTCACTGGTATCATTCATAAGCCTGAACTTGATATGTACTGGTCTACAGATGAAATGTTAGCTACCCCCTACTTCAGCAAGGTCATGTCTCGCAACAGGTTTGAAATCATATGGAGATTTCTTCACTTCAATGATAATACAGCAAGGCCAGCCAGTGACACTGACAGGCTGTACAAAGTCCGCCCTGTCTTAGATCACCTCGTGTCCAAATTCCGTGAAATGTATCAGCCTAACACAAACATTTGCATTGATGAGGGTATGCTTCTGTGGCGTGGGCGCCTAGCTTTCAGGGTGTACAATCCTCAAAAACCCATCAAATCCTACATCTTGTGCGATTCTGAAACAGGTTACTGTTTTAACATGAAGCCCTATTGTGGAGAAAGTGCTGCCCTGAAAGACACGGTTGTCTCTCTTCTTGATCGTCTAGCAGGTCATGGTTACAGATTATTTATGGATCATTTTTACAACTCTGTACAACTGTGTAAGCACCTACTTGATTTGAAAACCCATGTCTGTGGTACAATTAGGAAAAACAGAGGTGAACCACCAGTCATTCGAGATCTCAGAAATGCTGACCTTAGGATTGGGGAAACAGTCATGTGTCACACTGAAAATGTGATGGTCTTGGCATGGCGAGACAAACAAACAGTGAAAATGGTCACAACATGCCATGAGAACAACATGGAAGAAGTTGAGGTATGGCAGAGAGGCCACCAAGAAAAAATTGCAACGCAAAAACCAGCATGCATTGTGGAATACAATAATGCAATGAATGGAGTTGACAAATTGGATCAAAACATTAAGTACTACCCTTTTGTCAGGAAGTCACACAAGTGGACAAAGAAATTTGTCACATATCTGTTGCAGATCAGTCTGTTCAATGCTTTTGTCATTTACAAAGCAAAAAACCCACAAGGTAATTGTAAAACTCTCCTCTCTTTCATCCAAAGTGTTATAAATTCATGGACCAGCAGAGAACAGGCTGGTGGTGGGGAAGAAAGAGATGACCCTCCAACTGAAAACACTCCTAGAGCACCATATAACACTGACCCTAGAAATAGGGTAAATGACCTTTTTGCAGTTCATGCACTTGTTCCGATTGCGTCCACTTCCAAAAAGCAACACCCGACGAGAAGATGCAGGGTTTGTGCACGTAATGGTTTGCGAAGTGAGACCTCGTTCTACTGCAAAAGTTGTGGCGTCCCCTTACATTCTGGCAATTGTTACACCGTTTACCACTCAAAGATAAAATACAGTGCCTAAATTTTATTTATTTAAAATTATTTATATTTGAAGGTTTTATTTATGAAAGAATATGACATCTGAATGTATTTTGCTTCAAAATGCACTACTTTGATAAAAATGTATTTTTCTCTGTTTTTTGTACAAAATGTTTTTAATGAAACCTATCTGTGTTCAAGTGGTGATAAAACATGAACACATAAAGATAGAAAAAAATAGTGTTTTTCTTTTAAAAGCAGAGGCTCGGTTCTTTATTTTGATATATAATATGTTCATATATTCATAGCAGAAAATATTCTGAGGGCCGTCAAATTTAGATGAAAATAATCAGAAATGCTGGCGGTGGCTGGCAACTTTTTTTTAAAAATGCTGGCGGGGAAAT